AAGTATGTAAATTTACTTCGGCTATTCAATTAAAAAGAAACGAATCAAGTTTTAGTAGTTTTAATTTCTCTAGGAGGTCGCGAACTTGTTGAAACATACACTTTCGCAATTAAGACACGCCTATAAACTACTATAACACTTTTGCATATTATTTTTGATGAGCCATGGCCTTTCAGTATGATCAGTACCAACAGCAGTCACAGTATGGCAGTGGACTAGATAATAAAACGACGTTATGGTATAATTAATGGTTAATAACTCTGATTCTTTTAAGACGAATAGCCGAAGTAAATTTACATACTTTTTAGGATGGGTGAGCTTGAACCTTGGATGGACGAAAGTTATGTCCGTCAAATTTGGTATCAACTAGGCGAAAATGTTAATGTCAAATTTATTCGGGACAAGTTCACTGGGTAATTAATATTTAAAAGAACTTTATGTTCACATTTGTAAACGGATGAAATTCATATAAAAACATCTTATTATTAATAATTTTAACAGTGCAAACGCCGGTTACTGCTTTGTAGATTTTGTGAGTAATGCAGCCGCGGTTAAAGCCTTAAGTACAGTTAATGGAACTCTTATCCCTGGTACCAATCGTGTATTTAAGCTTAATTGGGCATCAGGAGGCGGATTAACTGATAGAAAGTAAGCACATAAATTTTCTATTAAACGATGACACGTATATTTATGTTTTTTTTTTTCCTCATTACTTAATTGAACACAAAGTAGGGATGACCGTGGTCCTGAATTTTCGATTTTTGTCGGCGATTTAGGACCAGAAGTAACTGAATGGATGCTTGTGGTAGGTTTTCAGATATGTCGCTTGTTTGTTCAGATAGCAACTGTTTTTTTTTAGAACCATTGTTATAATGATTGATAATCTGTATGTAGTCTGTTTTTCAGCAAAGGTATCCAACTTGTAAGTCTGCGAAAATAATGACTGATCCGATGACAGGCATGTCTCGTGGTAAGCATAACCCAACTTCTGATCTACAAACTCAACACGTTATTAATATCATATATAACTATAGGATATGGTTTTGTTCGTTTCGCTGATGAAGCTGAGCAGCAACGTGCTCTTCTTGAAATGCAGGGCTCTTTTTGTGGAAATCGCCCAATGCGAATTTCTACAGCAACACCAAAAAATAAAAGTGGTTTACCGGGCACTTTTTACCAACAACCTTCTCAACAGGCACCTATTCTGAATCAATATAATGATCCCAATAATACCACTGTTTTCGTTGGTGGACTATCAGGAGTAAACAGTGAAGAAGAGCTCAGAAGGTTTGTTATAATTATAATTTAGGTGCTCCCTCATATAATCTGAATTAAATATGTTTACTTTGGTATTGAAAAAAAAGCTATTTTCAAGGATTTGGAGAAATCACTTATGTTAAAATACCGCCTGGAAAAGGTTGTGGATTTGTACAGTTTGTGCACAGACAAAGTGCAGAAATGGAGCATTATCCTATTGGTATATATTGAAATTAGTGTTCTGAGATTTTGTCTCATGTATAATTCCGAACATGTTTGTCATTAATCTTAATAGGTAACTCGCGAGTCCGATTATCATGGGGCAGATCTCAGAATGACAAAACCGTTCTTGGCACTTATCGGTAACCCTTTAATTTATTTGAAGAATTCCATTGAAACAAATAGCTTATTATTTCTGTTTCTTTGCAGACCACAACAAACGAGCCCCTACAATTCTCTTGGCGGTATGACATCAACAACTTCTTACAGTGCTTATACACCAACTACCCCAGTAATCAACACACCTGTGACTCCAACTCCACCTCAAATCTTACAGTCTATGGCAGATCCTTTGGAGCCAGTGCCTGTGCAACGTATGAATGAAATTTTCATCACTAGCAAAGAGGCATTGCTTGAAAGAATGGAAACCGAGGGTAACAGTTGGAGAGGAATATACGCTCAATAACGAGTAGGGTTTCGATTCAAACCTTTTTTTTTTTTTTTTTGAATTGACATTACTATATAGTTTGGGTTTGGTAATCGGAATTCTACTTCATTTGAGATAATAAGCAAAATTTAAATATATATCATTTTCATTCAATAGTATAAAATTCAAAAAACCAATCAAATTTGTTAAATCATTGCTATAAACCATTCAAAACTTTATTTTATTTCAGATTTTAAGAATTTAAGGGGGATTTAGTGACTAAGCTTGAAAAATAGATTCGGTTTAAAAAAAAAAATGGAAATAAACATATACGTAATATATATAAATATTAAAAAAAAGGCGAAGTTCAATTTATCTTAATAAAAATATCATAATGTATATATATTTTGTGTTGTTGATGTAAGAGACAGCGGGAGATTGGGGG